CCAGGTTAACAAAATTGGTCTCCAGCAGCTTCATTTATTGCAAAAGTAACTTGCAGTATAAATTTGTAAGGGATCTACTATTCCATGCTGTGCAGAGGGAAGCTAAATCTTCTTTACATCTGGATTCTCCAAGGAATGTGATATGTTGGTGTGGATGAAATGTGGCAACTTTTTGGGGCTCGTCCAGGAAGCACCGTATCACCCACTGAAAGGACTAGGAGACATGTCAGTGAGAGGCTAGAGGAAAGGGGTAGAGGAGGAATGTGAACGAAAGTGTTCAAGAAACGTGTAGATGTGGTGCTTAGGGACATGGTTTAGTGAGTTAGGTGGTGTTGGGTTGGACTTGATGATCCTTGAGGTCTTTTCCAACCTTAATGATTCTGTGATTATGATTCTATGAAAGGGAAAAAAAAAAATCAGTCTGGTCTGTAGACCTATATTGGAAGAGAGTCCTGGTGGAGGGTGGCAAGATCGTGAGAGCAGCCTGATCCAGCAACAGCTGCTTATCATAAAGTGGGACACAGGAACCCAGGTCTCTCAGCACTAGGCAGGCTGGGATGTGGGGTACTTCACTGCTTCCCTCCTGCTCTCATGAACACTTAGTGCAGAGAAGGAGCATGGAGAGATAAAAGAGGGAATAGAAGGAGGCAGATACATAAGGAGAAGGATCTGGATGAAGGAGGCAAGCCAGGAAGTGCTGGGAAATGTGGGCAGAATGGCTCTGCTATGCAAGATGCACCAAGTTCCACGTTTACCCAAGTCTCCCCTCAGCAAGTCTTTCCATGGTTTAAACCCTTCAGCTGACCTCCAGATTGCTATGATCAGTGCCTCCCATATACCTGTGTTTAAATACAATGTTATCTAGTCAGCCCTACTTCATCAGACCTCTGCCTCATCCTGCTGCTTGGGGACCCCTGTAGCAATTGCTGTAGCTCTGATGATACAAATAGGAAGGTTATTCTCTCAGAAAGAGAATACCTGGCAGATCTATTAAGCTGTAGGAATGTGTATCACAAGATCACCTTTAGTTCATTTTTTCACGGAAGTGCAGTAAAGCGCTGAGGAAGAAAAATCTCACCTGGGAAATCAGAGCTCCTTGCATTTCTTTTCTAGTTTAAGACAGATTTTTGCAGCTAGCACATGGCCATAGGGAATGATGAGCTTTGAGAAGGTGAAACTCTTAGGCTGTCAGTAGTAAATGGTGTAAATATTTGTGACTCCTCATTAGTGCAGTTGAGATTGAGAGTCATGAAGATTCTTCTCAACTACTTTTGGATTTTAATGTACTCTGTGGCATATGTCTTTTTCTATCAAACTACAGTGTTTGGGAGAGAAGGAATTCTGGCAGGTAGTAGTGCAAAAACCTTAGGAGAGCACCAGATTTGTCTTTTGGGCTTTAGTATATTTTAGCAGTCTGAGTCAAGAGCTACATCTACAGATCTTACAAAGACAGAGCATTAGGTAAGATTTATTTTCAGATTTTAACACTACTGTAAATGATGACTAAAAAGGTCAGTGTTAAAAAAAAATTCTACTTAGTGTCTGCAGCTTTGTTTTGGCAGAAAATGGATTTTCTACATGTGCAAGTTGCACCTGTTGAGCTAGAGCCTGATTAGAAATCAGCTTTGCTCAATCTGTGCTTATCCCTTGTGTAACTACATTTAAAAGGATTTAAGCTAATTTAGCTTCTAACTATTAAAATATAAAAAAAACCCAAAAAGCTAAACTATGATAAATTAGGCTTAAATCTGTTTTACAGTGGTTTCACTTAGTTAATTTGAAATTACGCTTTTTTTAGTAAATATATTTTGTATTGATTCCAGAGTGCCTGGAAGAAGTCTGTTTCAATACTTAGATGATGGTTGGAAGTCATAGTTTTAGACAATTTCTTGTACAGTATAGGCAGTGGTACTTCCAGTTCGAGCCAAACTGATAAATTCAGTGGAGTCATGAGAAAAGATTGATTTGAACAGTTTGTGTTGGCTTGATTTTTGAAATAATGTTTGGAAAGTGGCGAAGGTCTGAAGTAACCAAGTCACTTAATCTATCAACAATTCATATCCCTTAATCCCAGATTTGGGAAGCATTTTAAATATTGACGAGGAAGTACATTGACATGTTACCATAAAAAGCCTGGAACCACAGTAGTAGAGGAGGAATAAACATCTGCAGGTGTCTGTCTACCCATAACTTTACTGCATCAGAAGTATCCCAATTTTCTTCTGAGGCGTACAAAGTGAATGTAAATCTGCTAGGATGAGTCTCTTTTGATAGAGGGAAAAGTGCTTTCATTTCCAATATCCTTAGCAAAATGAAAGTCTCATGCTGTATTTTTACAATCTTTTTTGATTCATGCAATCTTTTCTAGACTGCGGCTCTCATTACAAATTACTGCTACGTTTGCTGTCATCTTTGCTGAAATAAAGTTTGGCATCAAAAATAAGTTCCCTGCAGCCATGGAATCTTGGCTCATGGTTTCTGATTAGTTACTTATGCCAATATTACACATTTTACATGACATTTATTATCGGGACCTGATTCGTTAGAACAAACATAGAATTTTTTACCAGACTGGAGATAAGTTGTAAATTGTAGAGCTAACATTACTCTGTGTTTTAGAAGTAGTATAAAAATAGGTACCAGAAATTTTTCTAAGAAACAAGTGCCTAAAGTTAAACTCAGTCTATATTTTATTGAAAGCATATCACTACTTACCAGCTTTGGAAAAATCAAATAAACTTATTTAGGTGCCTGAATGGGGACATTAAAATCTGTTGTGAGAACTCAGTAAAAAGAAAAAAAAATCCAAGATTTGTTAAAATATTATTTTATCATTTACATCTTTTGCTTCTTGATCTTAATTTTATTAGTATGAAGATATTTGAATAGGAGGTTTAGAGTGTTTTGGAGAGTAAAACAACTGCGAATTGCTATGGCAACAAATAACAGCAACAGTTTGTTTCACATCTTTCATGGTGTGAAATTATTTTGTATACATTAGATTAACAAAAAGTCTCAGAAAATGTTTGTCTTACTTCATGATAAAGAACCACATTTTCTTATCAGGCAACCATAGAGTCTTTCCCAATGTGCAGCTTTAGTTAGCATTAGAAATAGGTATTGGATACAGGGTTCAGTTTTTCCTCTCCATATTGAGACATCAAAATCAGGGGGTTGCAGGACACATCATTTTAGCGTAGACACTAAACAAAACGAAGGAGAGCTGTCGAGTTTGCACCTACTTTTCCAGCGTTAAGGGTTATTCAAATTCATCTCCAGTGGAAACAGAAATAGACCAAACACTTTCACATTAATCATACCAAAGAGTAAAGTTTTAATTGGATTTATTTAATTTGAAGTGAGACCAGTTTGTCAGCCTTGTGCATGGTGAAATCACCTTTGTTTTGTGGAAGTAAGTGGATGTTAATCAGTTTGGTTTGGAAATATTTGAGTGGCACCTGAGACCTACTTAAATGAGTTCTGTGTAGTCTTTCTACAACAGAGGTTTTCATAAAGTGAGGGAGGACTGAGCATTGCAGCTGGTAGGGGAGCAGGGAATGAGATTTGACATGTATGTGGGAGTCTCTTGCTAGCAGCAACTGCTTGAAAAGGAAGGAAGGAAGAAGGAAGCTGCCACTATAAATGGTTCATACCTACCTTATGGGTGACCTGGGAGGCATAGGTTAAAGGTTGGAAAGGAAGGGAAGTTGCCCCAACCAGGAATGGCTGCAGACATGAGTCTCCTCACATGTAGAATCTGCTGCTTTTTAAACCCGGTCACTTATCTAAGCATAAAGTTGGTGTATTTTCTAATGGATAGCTTGCAGGCAGAGAACTGCTGCTCTGTGAAGCTTAGAGCACTTTTTCAACTGCACTGTTACTTGGAAGATGCTTACATTCATCAATTGAAGCCAGAGGAAAATGTTGGCAGAGAACTGATTGTTTAAAAAATGACTAATATGTCTCCTTTTTTCCCCCACTCTTTTTTGATTTAGCATTACCAGAACCTTTGCATCAGGTAAAACAGAAAAAGTGATCTTTCAGGCACTTAAGGAATTAGGCCTTCCCAGTGGAAAGGTATTTAGTGGTTTTGAATAACTTTTTGTGTACTAATAAATTGATTCATCATTCACATTTGTATCTGTGATCTAAGTAGTTTGTGTTGCATAAAAACATGCCTGTTGTTCATGAGTTACTTATTAATCACTGTAGGTTGTTTACTAAAACCAAAATGTGACTAAATCTGTATGACATAGTGGTCCTTACGCCTCTTAGGTGAGGCTTCCATTCTTTTCTGTAACAGACTACCTTTCATTCGTTTATACAAAGTGCATGAGCACGGTATATTCGCGTAATACTTGCTGCATGATGTCCTCTCAGTTGCATTTCTTGGACGACTCCTGCTCTTTGCTCCCTTCCTTCAGAGAACTGCTGTCCAGCTCTGTCCTGCTTGCAGTGGGAGCCCCTGCCAGCAGCCCCAGAGAGGTGATGGCTGGTTAGTTTCAGCTGTGTTTTTTTGGATTTACTCCTTGCCCAGTCTCCCTTCTTTCGTTTTGTAGACTGCAGCACTTGGTTCTTGGCCTGACTGCTCCAAGTGCCTGGTGAAGCTGGTGAGCAGCAGCCGTGCAGTGCAGTTCCCTGTCTCTAGCCATGGAGAGAGGGTGTAGAAAGACATGAATTCGCAGCCATAGCAGTGCCTGACATCTGAGATTAAGTTTTTCCTCACTGCTGCGTTTGTCGTCTTGTTCAAAGGGAGAACATGATACTGAATGCAATAAGCCATATTTTCCCTCCCTTATGGAAGTTTTACATGCTCCTGCATGAGAGCTGCTTTGCTTTTTAAAACCATTGCACCAATTCCAGGACTTTTCTCAACGTTCCTTGGCTTCAGTATAAGTATCCTGAAGTTTGTACATTATTTTGGACTTCTGAGGGGTTTTTTTAAACTTTAAGAAGAAAAATCAAGACTGTTTTCCAGTTCTGTGTTTATGCAGAATTAATGTTACTGTGAGGTCAGAATATAAGCATGTCAAACAGATCTATGAGAAAGATGAATTAAGAACTGCTTTCAGAAAATACAAAAGTGTAAGTTTATACTAGGTAAAGAGCTAAAACAGTTCTCAGTTGCTTTTTCTGATATAAGATATGCTTTTTTTGGGAAAAGAGCACATAAGCTCTTTTTTTGCTGTATAAATGTGCTTGTGCATTTCGTTGCAGAATGATGAAATTGAGCCTGCAGCATTTACTTATGAAAAATTTTATGAACTCACCCAAAAGATATGTCCCCGAACTGACATAGAGGACCTGTTTAAGAAGATGTAAGTTCAAATTTAATATAATCTTGCTTTAAACTATTTTTAGTCCATATGTAATAGTGACAGAACACTGTAAACGTTATCGAACCTTGAATCCTAATAGCATTGGCAGTATTTTAAAACAAACTCAAGTCTATGTTTTTCCCCTTTGTTCCCTTGCAGATTGCTAATGTAAAAGTTCACTCTGAATTTTAGAGCAACTTTTACATGAGTTAGAGGAAGCACCTGGAACTTTTTTTTTTGCGTTGGCTTTACTAACTACTGTAATTTTAACTTGCTCCTTTAGGTGATTAACATAGTATGTGAACTAATTAAATTAAATAAGAAATTTGAAGTTTAAAAAGTTTCTTCACTCAATTTATTCTCAGTTGGAGGACTTACATGTTGTTTTATGAAGTAATGTTTGTTAAGTTGTAGGAAGTATGGGAGATATACTGTGCCAAGCATAGACAGTATGTTTTTTGTAGTTGTTCATTTTGAGATTATAGAGCTACTTCAGGTAGAAAATAAGGTGGTTTTAAAAGTATCAACAATGTCAACATGTAAATCATACCTACTGTAGCATCGTATATTAAAACTTACATTCTCTAATAAATTTCTTTTCAGCAATGGAGACAAAACTGATTATTTAACGGTAGACCAATTAGTGAGCTTTCTAAATGAAGTAAGCTTTTTCTTACATTAACTACCATACAAGTTTGTCTGCAGTGGCTTGCTTCTTCCAATTTTTCCATTGCATGAATCATGCTGTTATTTGCTATGCTTTTGATCCGCTGATCTTTCCATTGTGGTAACATCCAGGTGCAAAAATCAGCCCCAACCTTGTATGTTGTTGTGCTTTCTACATGTTGGCTTTGCAAATTGCATCTGCTGATTACTTGCTGTTGTGTTATGTTGTGTGTTATGTATGTTTTATACATTTCATACTGTTACATTCAATGCAGTTTAATCTAAAATATGCCTAGTATTTTGTTAGAAGCAATCACTTTACCTGTAGGCCACAGCTAAATGTATCTACCAGTCCTTCTGAGTAATAGAAAAGATGAAGTAGGCTTTTATAAACAGTGATTTCATTCTTCTCAACAGTATTATTTCAATCTATTACAAATCTAAGAGCGTATTTTAAGAGTTTGTATATGATTTTTAAAATACTATGTGTGCGGAATAAGAGGAAATATTTCTATTACTGTATTTCCAGAATACAGTTGTTGGCAAGAATATATAGTATTTCTTAAAAACATCATGAGTGTGCAAAGTGGTTCAATAGACAGTGTGGCGTTGGTTTTTTTTTCCTGTTCTTACAGCTCAGTAAGTCATAGAAGACTGATTCAGAATTGCAACAATAAATGCACTGTGTAGATTTGACAACATAGATATGGAAAATAGTCACATTCTACTTGTTTTTATCTCTAACATGGATAACTGCTTTATCTCTCCACACGATCTTTTAAGAACTGGGTACATTACAAAAAAATCTCTCAATCTAAAATTATTTTACTAGTTATGAATCTATTATATATATATCTATATATATCTTCATATCTTACACTGCTATATGAAGATTCAAGCAGTAAGTCCCCCATATATCAAATTTAGAATATAATTTTCTTTTTCAGTAGGTAATGCATGCCTTACTCTTCACCAAACTTGAATTATAGAAAGAGTATTCAAAAAGAAAAAATAGTGAGAAAATTAACAACTTCAGGGCTAATGGTTACATACTTGAGACCGTAGTTCATATCCACAAAGTTATCTCTATTAGGAAATGGGAACATATGCTTATTCTTACTACTGTGAGATGTTCTTTTGTCAAAGCTATTTACAAATTTCAGTGTCTAAATGTTTGCTGGACTGGGGTCATAACTAAGGCATGTAGTTTTTGCTTCTGCGTTGAAGAGAGAAAGAACGTTGTGATTTAAATTATAAATTATTGCCCTAAAGTACGTCAGTCCCCCAATTCACTTGTAATGAGAAATGTACTTCACTGCTTGAAGCACACAGCCCTGTCCCCACCTTGAACCATAACAGCATCTGGGTTTGCTTTTTTTTTCCCTAGTATTAATTCTCATTTTTCATTAAATTACTATTTTATCATTATTTTAAAATTGATCTCTGTAATTGTTTTAGTTTAAAGTGTGCTTCCTTGAAGCCCACTCTTCTGAAGAAGAGCTGTCTCCAATAACTGATTAAAAAAATAAAGTTGAGCTGATTTGCTCTCAGTTTTGTATTGTTTTAGCAGTTCTTTTTACAGAATGAGAAGCCTTATTTTACAGGCAGTATTGGAGAAAGATGCATTTTGTTGGCTACATTCTTATCGACACAACACATTTTGCAATTGGAAATTTTGTAGTTGGCCCTTTTAGTTGATGACCAGAGCTGGGAAGAATTAGTCAAGTGGTTTTATAGAGTAGGACATTCATTCTGAGGACTGAAATGAATGCCTTTGGCTCTGTGCTTGGGGGTCTTTTGGTCTCCAAAGAGTTTACAGTTCTGGTTATGATTTGAAAGGCACTAGATGACCCAGAATCTCCCTCCTGAAGTGATCATTTCTGTCCCCCTGACAGCTCGCCAACAGTGCAGTTAGCTGTGGTGTTTAATGCTGGAAAATACAAAAAAATTATCATAATTACATAGCAGAGAGGACTTACTTGGCAGAGCAATGCTTCATGAGAGTCTTTAAGCTAAATTATTTTTAATTTCGTAACCTCCAAGGCATGCTGCAGAAGCTCTAAGAGTTATGAGTTTTTAAGGGAGCATGAGTATATGTTACTGTGTATGAGTGGAGAGTGAGCTGCTTTCCTGGAGTTTTTCCAAGCTGCTGTCTATTTGACTTTTAAATGCTGCTGACTGACAGCTGATTTAATTGTGTATCAGTATTAAAGCTTCTGGGAAGTTTTTAGAAATTTAATTATTGTCAGGCACTGAGTATTTTGCCTAGGTCTTTTTTTTTAAAGTCAAATTTTGAAAAAAATAAAGTGTAGTAGAAAAGAAGCAAAATAACTACTATTGGGATTTGCCCCTGCCATTCATTTGCAGCAATAAATTAATAAGCCAAGTAACTGTCAAAATGGAAATTCAGTAGTCTTACCAGGACTCATTCTTTCTCCTGGATAGGAGGTATGAGGAGATCCTTTTCTATCCCCTTCTTTCCCACTGCTTTCCTTCTTTCCCGCTTCTGTGCACTTCCTCCCTCTCTCCCTTCTACTTACTTGCTCACTCTTCCTCCTTCCCACTCACTCACTTGCTCTTTCTATCTCCCTCTGTTTTTCATTTCCACAAAAGCACACCCTTCTTACCACTGCACAGGACAAATTCAAGAGGTAAAATTGGTTCCAGTGCATTATTAACTGCTGTGCATCTCAGTTTGTATCTGAGGATACAGAGAAGAGACTGGATGGCCACGCTGGGGAGGGTGAATGATCTTTCTCTCTTTGCAGAGCCACCCAGGCATTCTTTCTCCCCGTGCTTTTAGATGGTTCACCCTCATTTGGTTAAGAATGCCTAGTGTAAGGGTGTCCTGTCTAATATGGTAACTAGAACCATAAAGTGCAACTGTGAGCGTACACAGTTAGTCCTGGGGCATCTTCTAGATGAAGCTTCATGCATTTGGTTTTGGTCAGCTTTTCTGTTACAACATTCCTGTGCCAACAAGCTTGGTAGTGCAGAATGTTTCCCCAAGAGACACTAGTAAGCATTCTTCCTTCTTTTAAGTAAAACTTCATCAATTGTCAATTTTGCTTTATATTTTAAACTAAGTAAACGTAAAGACATGCTTTCGTTCAAAGGGAAAATTGATAATGAGTGATGATCATTGCTACAAGAAGAATATTTTGCTCTTAGCTCCTTCCAATAACTCTGGGGCTCTTTCTCAAGAGGAGACTTTTTGCTTTATCTCATTTTCTTCTGTTTGCTTTTGACTGACTGTAGAAATAAAGGTGGGGAAGAGCACTTTTCTTGAATTAAGAACCTTCCCTACTATTTCTTACAATTTTTTGAAGTGGTGTATTGTCACTAATGGTATAAAGCTTGTCATTTGTCCTAGTCAACTGTACTGCTGCATGCCAGTGTTGTGTTGCTGTTGTGTGCTGCTTAGCCAGTTATGTCCTGCATCCATCTGCTCTCATATCATATTTCATCTGAGTTTTACTTAGATTTCCAGACAGATGATCTGTAGTAAATGAAACCCCTGTATTTTACATGCTGCATACTGTCAGTAGTGTTACTTGAAAAATCTCTCCTTAATTGCATGATTAAATTGGCATTGGTTGTAATTCCTTGGAATTAGTTAAGCACGTTCACCAACTGCATTGATTGTAAGAGATCAAGTGCTTATTTTTGATTGGATATAGCTTTTTTTTTCATGAAAAAATGTCACAAAGTTTACACATAAGGAATTACAGCAAATGCTGGTAGTGCTGTGCCAAGCCATATCAACACCATCCTGTCCACTCCAAATTATTGATCACCAGTATGGGGGTGGCCTGTTACATTTCTGAATTCTGCTTAAACTAAAGCTTGAAAACAGTGCACCTACTGGGGTAAAAGAGTGTTTTCACTGTCATATTTATTTATTTGTTTTATTGCATCTGCTTACATGCCACTACTCCATTCAATTCTGTTTTTAATTTTCTTTTAATGGAGAACCAGGCACACAGTGTGCAGCTCTAATCCAGCATGGAGAAAAACAAAAGTTGCGTAGCACACTATTAAGCAAAAACTTTAAAAAGCTGAGTTTTAGTAGTGTATTAGAAATCACTGCCAAGTTGTATCTAAATATTACGTATATTATGAAGTCCTGGAATTATAAATTACCATGAATTGAAGAGATGATACTGTGAAGCTCTTTTAAGTTTTACATACTTCGTCTAAGAACCTAAACTTTTTTGAATAGTTAATAACACGATGTTTCCATAATTCATAAATAATCATCAGTAGTTGCATATTTCTAAACTTGGGTTTCAACTTCTGTATTTATAGTATAGCTTTATTTTACTTTTAATTTTTACTTTAGCTGTAGATATTGCTGAAGACATGCATTTTTGCAGAGGTGATGGCAGTGCCATCAGTCAAGTCTGTCAGTTTACACAACTTACAAAAAAAGATTAGGAAGAGAGAGAATTTGCAAAGAAGAGAGATTTAGCTTTTTTTTTTTCACCATTTCATTTGCACGTACACTGTGTGCAGTCATTATTTTCATGAACAAGCAAGAGTAAGACCAGTTATATGGTTGCACTGGATTGGTTTTTCTGAAATAGTTTTCTAATCAAACTGCCTAGATTTCTTATGAAAAGCTAAAGTTATTGTTGAGTAGTCTGTAAGCTTTAAGGCTCTTTTTTTTTCTTTTAAATGTCCGCTTCTTTCTTCCTCATCTGCAGTAATGAAATGCTCTTCGATGATAGCCATGCACTATATTGTTTTGCTGAATTCCGTTGTTTTCTAACCTTAGCATCAACGAGATCCTCGGCTCAATGAAATTTTATTTCCCTTTTATGACACAAAAAGAGCAATGCAGATAATTGAGACATATGAGCCAGATGAAGACTTGAAGAGTAAAGGTAAATGTGGGAGGGAATTCAGTATTCACTTATTTTAGGCATTTGGGGAATTTGTTCTGAAGCATCCAAACTTTTAGAAGGGACCTTACAGTCCTTGTGGCCAGGGGGCAAGCACTTGTGTAGCTACCCGGTGAACTAGATCAGGAAACTGATCTGCTGAAAAATATCTCCCCCCACCTCCAAAAGCAGTGATTTTTAGGCTTATTTTCCCGATCCAGGTTACAGTGTGGCTACAAAGACATCCATACTGACACAAAATGGGAGAGGCTAGGAATGAGTAAATGGGGAACATACAGACTCCTGGCAACAAGGCAACACGTGTGTGGCTATGGCCAAGGTCTCAGAGGGACTACAAAGCTGTACAGATATTGTGTAAAAATAAAAAATAGATTACCATGTGTGCCATTGGATGTACATCCACCTTCTTACAATGTAATCCGCATAGTGCTTGAGGGCAGCAGCCTAGCTTAGAACAGGGTATTTTACGTGGCTGCATTGAAGAATGTTCTCTCCAACGTAAGACTGAAGGAAGTGTCTCCAAGCCATTCTTGGACTGCTCGTGTCCTGAGCTGCTATGGGTGTTGGAGGTGTCAGTGGTTGAACTTAGCTCCTAGTTCTTGTCTGTTTAGCTGAAATAGCTGTGTTGGGATCAACTGCGGAAACTGAGAATGTTGCTATCCTCATCTGTCCTTCTTGCCCTTTTGCTGGCAGTTACTGTCATCACAGTATGCAGAGGAGACTGAAGCCTTACAGAGCCCGTAGACCTTCAGGCATCCTCACAGGAAGCCACTTTCACTAGACATCTAGGCTAATGTATCAAGCTAGCACTGGAGAAGCTGAATAGCTTTTACACATCCGCTAGTGCTGCCCCTGCTGATGAAGGATGTGCAGAGCAGACAACAGAAGGAAGCAGTGTCTTAAACTGCTTTGGTAAAGCCCGAGGCAGCTCTCGCTCAGTGCTGCAGCCTTGTTGGATCTTCTGTGTGCCTTTATGTTGCTTTATCATTGCAGGTGTTGATACCAGCAATGCCTTCCACAGCAACACCTGCCCCTTTCACTTTCTTTGGGCCCGTGGTCAGGAGGAGTTTACACTTTTCTTCCTCAGTCTATAAACTTCAGGAATCCTGTAGCTGAATGTGTAGCTTTCACCATTCCTTACAGTACTTCAGTCCTTTTAACCATACCACTACATGAAGACCTTGTACTGTGTATGCTACTCCAGATGCTGTGTTGTACACTGAGTTAATGGATTTTTTTTTTTAGTTCTGTGAAAACATGGGCTTTCCAGGAATCACCTGGGGGAGAGTGAGACATTTCTCGTGTCTAGGACTAATTTATAAATGTTATGAGGATTTACCACTCACAAGCAGTGTAGCTTATTTCTCTTCCTCTCTACGTGAAGTAGAATTCTCCAAGTATTCATTACATTATTTTAGTCAACTTTGTTTTTTTTAAAGGCACTTAGCTGTGATTCCTCTTAATGCCAGTGTATTTTACATATTTTCCAAAATGCGGAAGGTATACTAACGTAGTTGCCACCTATTTAGGAAGGAAGATGTGAAAACCTGTTTTATGAAGGTAGAAATTAATCTAGAACTGGAAAAAAATGTTCAGTAATTTGCAAAGAAGAGGATTTTGCAAGCACTAAGCTATAGCAAGGGAATGATCTTGTAATAATTGAATCTTAGCTAATTATTTAGCTTCTTTCTTTGATTTATTTTTTTATAATAGGTTTTAAGTAAATATGGTAAACCTCCTGCAGGGATAGGGTTATGGAGAGTAACAACAGAACAGCAGTGTTCTCTTAGTGTTCCTCCATTGATCATACTCACTGATGTGGATTTTATCCCAGTGCAATCAGTAGGATAGAGAGATGATTTCATATAATAAAGTGTTGAAAATTAGTGTATAACGAAGGCAGTAATTTATCTCAGCGGTGGTTGTTCTCTGCAGTCTCTTTCCCCTTCTTCTTAAATATAACTTTGCTGTTGAGCAAAATAATTAAACTCAACTTTTTTTTTCCTAAATCATGTAGTTTAAGAAACAAGGCTGATGTTCAACAAGGTGATAACAATAGGCAACTGACTCCTCAGTTACATTTCAGTAACAGAAAGAGTGAGTGAAGCTGAACAAGTTAGTGCTGTGCAGTTTAGTAACCAGAGTCTGCTCAGGAACACTACAAAAGCAAATTCTTCCACCTGGTCATTGCATGTCAAAAATACAAAGGGCAATCTATTGAGCACATAGAGCTCTGTTGGGTTACTGAAGTCTCAGCCATTGTTTATCTAGAGCACCTGCTCAGCTGTGACTTTTTTTTTTTCCCCACTAAATTATGCACTAGAAGTGTGTACCATGTGAGATATTTTGTGCTGCTGCTTTTAAGTTCTCAGTGATCAAGAAAATAAAAACATTCTTAAAATTAAGAGTTCCATTTTGCCTCCTTTTCTTCCCCCTTCTTCCAAAAGTCGGAATCAGCTGAGTGATTTGAATAAGATGTTCCAGAATAGTTCACCTCTGGCTGACACCAAGCACAGAAAATTTAAGCTCCAGTAGAGGATTTTTTCAGAAAGCTAGGAGCAGAATGAAAAGCAGGATTACTGGAGGTCTCTGTATAAGAGAAAAGTTGTCTTAAACAAAATAAAAACAGGGCTGCTGCAACCCGTGCCTTAACAATAGCTGAGTGTTCATACATGACTTTAGGGAAAGCAATCTCCAAATTCGTGCCACATAACTATTCTCTGCAATGACTCCTTGTGAGTAATCCCTCCTTCCCTACCCCAGATAATTTTTCAGTCTCTTGGCCACTTTAAAACTGATATTGCAGTACTGATTATTCTTACCTTGTTTTCATTAAAATTTATTCCTTGATTTATATTTTCATACATAATGAAGCATATAACAGTGGAGGAATAAGATAAAATTGTTACGAATTCTGTCCTCTGAATTACTGTACATCCCATGTTCATTGTAGACGATGGCTTGCTTTTCATTATAAAGGAATAAACCTGTATTTCAGACAGTAAACTTTGAAGGTAGATTTTCCTAATGCTTTGCAGATGAACACATGCAAACATTTTCAGGTACAGCTCTGCTTGTTTTTGTCAGTGGAAAACAGTCTCTACACATGCTGCAAGCTGATGAACAGTGATGTAGCATAGTCAGGGCAGGACTAAGTATGAAAGAGGGGAGAAAAGTACCATAGATAACTGGTACATGCAAGCTCACAGTTTCTAGCTCACAAAGTCCCAGAGCTCAAAGTTGTTGGGAGTATTCTTGAGGAGATGCCACTACTTTGCCTTCTTCACGTCCTCTTGATGCCCTAGGTCTGCTAGGATGAGTGCTGGATATAGAATATTGAGCTAGATGGGCACCTGGTTTGTTTCCTTTTATTATCTGGGAACACAGTGGCAGATTTTGCACCAGGGACAGAGTTGCTGGTCAGCTTGGAGCATGGGAAGGGGAGAATTGTTTGCTTGCAGAAGCCTGTATAAACATAGCTCCTGTGCTGGGGTTCCTGCTCTGTGAGACAGTTTGATTCCTGCCCACTATAAATTTCCAGTAGTAATTTGCCATGCTTTCTTCTTCCTTCTAGGTGTCATATCAAGTGATGGCTTTTGCAGATACTTGATGTCAGATGAAAATGCCCCAGTTTTTCTAGACCGTTTGGAATTATATCAAGAAATGGACCATCCTTTGGCTCATTATTTCATCAGTTCCTCTCATAATACGTATTTAACAGGCAGGCAATTTGGTGGCAAGTCTTCAGTGGAGATGTACAGACAAGTGCTTTTGGCTGGATGCAGGTTGGAAGCAGGAGATAACAGCCTCTAATATTTGTGGATCTAATGCTTTAAACCTACATAATATACCTTGGTGCTAATATATTGAACATTTTAATTTATAAATATATTAGTGTGGTGAATGAAAATATACATATTTAAGATAATATTTTTCTCACGAAAAACCATTGAAAGGTAGTGAAATGTAGAAATTGATGACAGGAGACAGGCTGTGAGAAAGATAACAGAAGTTTGATCTCAGAATGACAGCTGAGGAATTCCAGAGACTTTCTGCTTTGTAGTCAAAAAGCTTGTATGTAAATGAGAATCAGTTTATTATTTTCTTGCTTGATTTCTTAACGTACTGAAATGTGTCACAGTTAACTGAGTAAGAGAATAAATTAGAGTATTACAGTGCTAAAAACATTATTGTTCACGGGTAAGTATATTGACCCACACATAGTATTTTTAAGGTAATATATCCAAAAATTATAAAAGCAGTCTGAAATTACACATGTACAGCTTAGAAGGATTTATGTAATGCCAAAAACTGCTTTGTAACTTAGTACTCTGAACATCACTGCTCAGAACTTGTCCCAAGTAGCTTGCCTGTACTGAAACACTAAGGAAGCTGACATTTTTCTTGGGTCTTTAGGTGTGTTGAGCTGGACTGTTGGGATGGCAAAGGCGAAGATCAAGAACCAATAATAACACATGGAAAAGCAATGTGTACAGATATTCTATTCAAGGTAAATGCCTCACCTCTACAGCTGGCAGTAAGCCCTAGTAGAACCCCTGGATCCTCCCCTTCTTAGCACTCAAACACTGCTCCCTTGTGACAGACTAACAAATCACATAAGCACAGTTTCTTGTCACCAGATCTTGGGGCTCATTTTTGACTTGCATCATATGCCCCTGTGTTAGGTCTCCTTTTCCCCAGAAACTGCAGGAAGTAGGCTTACTTCTTTTGCCCCATGTTTTCATAACCTGTGGCTCTTTGCACCACAGAATAAATATCTTCTCCATTGTCTGGAAAGTTCCTTAGGTGTGGAAACAGCCTGAAGATGCAGGAATTAGTGTGGGAATAGAAATTCTCCCTGGCAGGAGAAGATGGCAGCAGATCCAGGGGTAGCATTGGTGGGTTCTGGGTGAAGCTGCCATCAGTGCTCCGGGGGCAGTGAGGCACCTGTTGGGGGAGCGGAGAAGAGTGAGCATACAGTTTGTTCTAGTTCTGGCTTCACTTGGCACATTTGAGACTCAGCTCTGTGTTTCTCAGGGTGGGGTGGAGAACACAAAAAAAAATCTCTGTCATTATGATTGTAGTTTGATCTGCTGTAACTTAAATCTTATTATTGCATTTTAAAGGATGTAATTCAAGCCATTAAGGAAACAGCATTTGTAACATCAGAGTATCCTGTCATTCTTTCATTTGAAAATCACTGCAGGTATATCGTGCCCATTTTTATTTTTTTTATAGTGCAATGTATGAGAGAGATGATACAGTTCAAACATACTATAATTTGAGTGTACTTGAAAACTGTGTAGGGATATCCAGGTATACTGAATGTCACTTGGAAGAGACTGTACTTTAATATACTAGTCAATCTTTGCCTAGATTAATAATGGCAATATTTTTATTCAATGGTAAAGCTGCGAAATGTTTTTGGATGTACTATTAGTTGTGTGGGGTGCAGTTGATCTATTTTTTTGGTCCTACTAAATTCATCTATGTCAGATAATAGACTTTTATTGACAGTTTAACTAGCATAAAGTAATAGTTCTCAGTTGAGAGAAAGTGGGCAGTGTATCATTTGGGATATCTACATTACTTAGTATTATTCTGTTTTGCTGATTAATAACGTTTTCTTTTTTGTATTTAAAAATTAACCAACATAATCTTTTTCCAGTAAATATCAACAGTACAAGATGTCAAAATACTGTGAAGATCTTTTTGGAGATCTCCTGTTGAAGCAGCCTCTAGAAACACATCCAGTATGTTATATTCTGCCAGTCTTTTTATTTTTTTATATTATCTGTATTTAAAAGACATGATAAATTGGGTTCATATCACCTATAGTGCTGTTCACTGCCAGTCCTGTGCTTTCAGAAATGACTAGTGATTTTATGTGTCTATGCTTCTGGTACAAACTTGTCCTTACCTGATTTGTTTAGTCTCTTCTGTTACAGAGCTCTGGCGAGCAGCCTGGGGAAATCCGTCCCCTTGATGTGTGACTTAATACCAGCACCTACAGAAAATAAACCACATACATTGTATTTGCAGGTCATACTTAACTCTGAAATTGGCAGTCACTGTTGAAAACCAATTAATTATAAATTGCATGGTTGTAGCTCAGGAAACCTCTTCTTTCAGCTGCACTTTGCATGCTTCATGCTTCAGATCAGGTCCTGCAGTCTAGGTGGCCCTCGCTACTGCATTAATTAAATTAAGCACAAAAAGTTCCCCACAGTCTCATTTGGACTGTCAAGTGCACTGTAATCTGCATGCACTTCACTCTCCTGTGTGGTAGGAGATCAGCCACTCCTTCACAAACGCAATATTTGAGACTTTAATAGTGTGATACCCAGTGCTTGCAGCTACTTCTCCAGGCCTTCCTTACTCTCCTGAGCAACGTGCTCACTGTCTGCCAGCAACCACCCAAAACCTGCAGGTGCTCTTTAGGGCTGTGGGGGACCACGGCAAAGAGGACTCTGCCTTAACTTTCAGCTCCTGTCCATGTGACCCCTGCAAAGGGGCCTCCTGGCGTTATCATCTCTAGAGCTGTGCTTTTCTTGGCTTTCCTTGCATGTTGCATGGACAGTAACGCACAAGGCTTGGTGAATATCAGGTTGTTGCCCTGAAGAGTGCATCCCAGAGAAGTAGATCTTAGTGTTCCCCTGTAATATATGTAACACCTTGCCACATTCTTCACAAATGACAGCTTCCAGCAGCTTTCAGGGAAGACTAAAATAGAGCTGGCCAAAGGCTGCCATGCTGCTACCTCAGGGCCCAGTATGAAGCCTCAGCTGCTTGTGCTTTGTAGCCCTACTGAGCCTTCTGCATTTTGTGTCCATTCCTCCACACGGGTGAATTCGATCCCCAGCTGCTCACAAAGCAAATGTTGCAGCGGTGACAGGAGGAGCTTGAAACGCATATTTTAGGAGTGTTTGGTTTCTGACTGACTGAGGAGGGCAGACTTAAGAGGGACATGGCACTGGATGAAGCAGATTTGGTTTTAAGTAAAACAAATATTTGTCTAAATGGCTATCCCCCCTGTGCTTGGGGATACAGACTGGCATCCTGGAAGCCTGGGAATAGATGAGCTCTGCAGCACTGACATCTAGTGAAATTACAACCCAAGCACTTTTAGAACAATTGTGTTTTCTCTTCATCCAACATGCTGAAACTCCCATGACTGGCTAGCCTGGTGGGTGTGGATAATCATTACCTTCCTGCGAGGAGGTTTGCACCCATTCTTGTGAGGTTGGGTTGGATTGATTTGGAGTTTTTTTCTGGGTTGTTATTTGTCACTTCTGCTACTTTTGTTTTCAAGTTGTGGTGCTTTGTTGTTTTGTCTCTTCATTTAGAATGCTGCTTCTGTGTAGCTCAGAGTTGGGTTTAAGGATAAGAGTATCTGAATATTTCTTCTAGCAATTTTTACTAGTCCTAGAAATATCTTCTACTCCTGTTTCACTTATGGTTCACTGGAAACCACAGTCCATTATACCAGCAACTCCACGCATAATAATCTTGGCAAGCCTGAGGTGGAGAACGTACTATTTACTGTACCCAAATCTGTTTCTTAGCCTCAATGATGTGATGGGGCTTAAATAAGAGGATTTTGTACTCTCTCTTTTCTCAGTAGTATTTTTTTCTCCTTCCCCAAACTGGAACAAACCTTTTAGTAGTACTTCCTTGTGTTTGTGAGACTTGTCATTTGCCTTTCACAGTTACTGAAGATGTGACCATGTAGCCCTACTGGCAGAACTGCTCCTCGTTACCTAGCTAAGGACTGGGTAGTTTTCCATTCACTGGTGCTAGCCCATTTCTTCTCTGTATGTGTGGGCTGCCTCACTTGCGTTATTACAGCTTGAAGGGACCATAAAAGATGACTTATTTAGACATTGAACGATAATGGCCTAAACTGTGACTTGGACTGTGTGTGAACCACAGGGAGAGGGGGAAAGAAGGAAGTCCTCTGATGAAGAGTTCAAGGTCACATCCATGCCCACTGATAGGCAGGAGAGAGGGGGAGATGTTTTGAGCAGTGCAGCTGAGGATGGTATAGGCTGTAGAACAATGTGCTGGCTTCAGCCAGCAACATTTACCTGAGCACAGCTTTCTCATGGGATAAGAAAGAAACAGAGGAGACAGTATAACTGCAGTCACGCTACCTCCCAGGGTTGTTCCTTAGGTTGCACTGCTTATTCACTGCCCCTTACCATTGGTGTCCTAAAGTCAAAATCCCCAACAGGGATACAAAGAGGCTAAATAGCTGTTATTAAGCCTTTTCTTTAAATTATTTTACAGCTTGATCCAGGTAAAACCTTACCTTCTCCTAATGACCTCAAAAGAAAGATTCTCATAAAGAATAAAAGGCTGAAACCTGAAGTAGAAAAAAGTAAGTAAAGCTTGACAAGTATTAAATCAAACGAAAGTCCAGATGAATACCAATAGACTTTGTTACTAAAGTTTCCAAATTGCTTGTACTTTGGTGTTGGAAGAATTATGAATTATACGTAAATGACACTTTGGCGTTGTGTTTCAAATGAGTGCCAGAGTCTAGGCCTTGATATGAGCATGTAGTATAGGCGTAGACAGACCTAGAAGTGTAATCCTGGGACTTTTATCAGATCGCTGGTTGAGCTAAAATATAATGCAAATAGAATCTCCTGTAAATTCTGGCTACACTGGTGTGTTTGCATTGCTGTGTTTTTCCAGGATAAACATAAAATGAAATGGAATTTCAAATTGCTCTTCTTGGTATTGTTTCCAGTTCTGACATTTATCTTCTTTCAGTAATAATAATGTTGCTATATTAGTTTCCAGTATGGCTGTAGTGATAAACCCTGGTCCTTTTCCATTCGAAGACAAGCATGCAGACCTTCTGCTAACTTCAGTCATATATGATTGTGTTCATACTAAGTGAAATGCACATAAGAACACAATGGAAAATCCAAGCACTTTGCCTCCATTTCCATAGATCAAGCACCAAAGAGATAGCTGTCTATTTATTGTTTGAAGAAGTAATATGCTTGCTCCAAAGACCTTTGAAGTCTATGGAAATATTTTTCTTAACATCAGTGAGTTTCGGATACAGCCCTTACTGACCACTTTTCAGATCTAACAACAGTGTATGTCTAATGATGCTCTTACTCTGTAAAATTTTATTGCTAACTGAAAACTTAGAGAACCCATTAAATAAAAGTAGCTCTTGAGATCAGAGAATCATTTATGACTGTTCTCATGTATTTCTTTGTGCTACAAACTGTTAATGTCATGACTAATTTGTTTTTATTTTTCTTATTAACAGAACAGCTTGATGCTCTGAAAAAGATGATGGAGGCTGGGGAAACTGCTGCTCCTGTAAATATCCTAGAGGATGATAATGAAGAAGAAATAGAAAGCGGTGAGGATTTCATAGAGAAGAGCTCTCAAACATTGCCTGTGGTAAATCAATAGGCTGGCATGAGCAACTAGTATGCACATTGTTGGCATGCTGGTGGTCTGTGACAGCAGCAGTAAGTCTGGGCTCAATGCAGGACCATTTATACAGACCTCCAGCCTTACCATCACATCTCAAATACATACCACAGCTGCTCCGGGCTCTGTGGGAGGTTGTGGTAGGAACATGAGCTCAGTTGGTGGTACTAGTGGTAATTTTAACTTCCACTTGCTGTTCAGAAGTCGTATTGGAGCAGCAACCAAGTCAGATTTTCACTGTGTGTATATGTGTGTGTGTGAGAGAGACTGGGAAGATGTCATCTTTGCTTGGAAAACAGATTTTGTCACTGTAGTATTTGTGTCAGTATCAGATTGGATTATTGCATTATACTTTATGAGGATAAAATGAGGGATAGGATTTTTCTTGCCAAATTTCAGGTATCTTCAGTGTAAACATCTAGATCTGAGCCAGTGATATGGAATGTATTTATGGCCAGCAGAGAAAAATAGACCTATCTAGAGTGTGATTTACGTTGTCTGTTTTAAATATCCACCTTCAGAAGAGGTAAATCATGCATTGCCTGCAAGTGTCCTTACCAAGGTACTGGCCTGTGACCCATGTCATACTGAACAGCCCATCTGTAGCCTACCCCTTGGTCCTCTCCTTGATTTTTTTTATTTTTTTTTTAATAGCACAAAGCCACTGCAGTTGCAGTCAGTAGAGGTCCTTGTGAAAGATATTCTTTGTGATCCAAATCAGGTATCTGTGCTTGCAATGCTAAAAAAGACTGATGTACAACAATTTTTGGAGAGGTCTCTCAGTATCTTTCTTCAGGTGACCAAGGAGCACAGATGAGATGCTGTTATTTTGCAGGCTGGTTTTCCATCAGAATACTTATTTCTAATAGTGTTCTTGTTATGCTGTGTTATTAATTATGTGCTAAACTACCATGGCGCTCAAGTAAGTGTTTTCTGAAATTATTGTTTAAATCCATATGAATAATGTGATAATGATTTTGTGTTTGTAAGATAACGTTTTAGATTCTTTGAGTACACTAGGTTCTAATTTAAAATCACCTTAAAAGCAAATGAAAATTATTCCTTGTAATAGGGAAGACTCTAAGGGGACTCTAACAATGCACATGAGAAACCTGGACATGAGCAACATTTTGCATCTTTATTTAAAGAACTCTGTCTTCCTTTCTTGTTATTACCCCAAGCCTACTAGGTATTTTTAACACTTTTGCTAAGTAAATTCTGATTCCTTAAAAAATACACTAAATCAAATTTCTCTTACTAACCATGTGAAAGCTGTAGAATCTCATGTCCTAGCTGTAAATTACTACTAATGCTTGGAAATCTAAACCCCTGGTTTTTATTTCTGTTTTTTAAAAAATGCCAAAACCAAACCTGTGTATTCAACTGTCGTTTGTTTCATGTTTCTCATGTCACAGCAGTTGCTGTGATTTTTGCACTGATGCTTCTTTCTTTTCTGTGCAGCTGACCAGGAAGAAGAAGCTCATCCAGAGTATAAATTTGGAAGTGACCTTACTGTAGATGATTACAGTCAAAAAGAAGCTGTTGCCATCAGTGTCAAAAAGGTGAGATGTCTTCTTATATATATTTCTTTGGAAGCTTTCCATGGAGGTGGGTGTAAAAGACACTGTTTTGAGGAAGCATCACAGCACATGCTGTCAGAAGAGTCAAACACGAGATCTTCACCAGATTCCTAACCTTTATGTTCATGAGAAGACAAAATTTTGCAGCTGAAAATGCTCTCTGCTTGTTCAGGTAGAATACTCATTGAGGAAACAATCGGTATGTAGGCAAACAGTATACAAGAAGTGGAGGATTTGATCAAAAATATTAGTTAAAGGCAGCAAACAGTTTCCTGCTCCTGCCTCTGATATTTTACTTTGCATCTCAGTTGCAGAGCTCTAGTATGAGGTGGAACATCAGCTTCCTTGCTCCATGATGTTTTTTTTGTAAGGCTGCATCCTGTGTCTTTGTTATAGGGATTTCCTGGGTTATTTTATATTGTTAACTCTTAGGGTACATTTTCTCTTCCACCTGCAGCAATGAAGGCAAAATAGGACAGTCATTCCCCAGTGGGGTGGTATGGCAGTGGGGCTACACAAGGCAGCCAGCTGTCAGACAGGTCAAGAGTCCCCTTTATTCCACTCATACCTGATTTAGTACAGTTTATCACTCTGTGCTCAGTAGCTCAACTATTTCTTGACAGTAATTAGATACAGAATATTGGAATTCAAAACTAAGTCTGCTCTGGCACTGAATGCATTATTGCTGCTTGCTACAGAAAAAAGAACAACCTGTGAGTGCTAAGGTACCTTATCGGATCATGCTCCTCTGTCACTCAATTATTTTGGCCACTTCTCTCCTGCTTGGCTACCATTGGATCCTCCTTCAGATAGAAGTATAGGTATGGAAAATCTTTCATAGCACAGATTACCCTTGGCACTATGTAGCGGTATCACCGAGACATCAGACCTCCTGCCTTCTTGGTATCTCTTCATGTCAACATCTTTGCTTCTTCAGGACTTTTTTGAATCCTCCCACTGAAGTATTGTTTGAATTCTTTGCTCTAGGGCTGGTTTCACTTAATAAGTCAGCTGGTCTTTAACTATGTGAGTGTTTTGGAGCTTGTTTTTTTGCTTTTGTTTTTTGGGTTGGTTTTGTTTGTTTGTTTGTTTGTTTGTTTTTTTGTGGGGGGGGGTGGTTGGTTTTTTTCGTTTGTTTTGGTTTTGTTTTTGTTTTTCCAGATTAGTCACTCATCCTCATCCTACACCCTTGGGTAGCTTCTCTGCTTCTTTGCTGATCAGTGACTCGATCCTTGTTCTTTAGGAATAATGCCAAGTCAACATTTATCTGTCTTAAGATTCTCAGTAGTGGCAGCTTGTAATTGAAGACAGACACTAGACTGCCCCATCGCAAATAATATCTCAAGATAGGCCTTTTCCAAATGTGGACATTTAAAGCACAGTTTACAGCAGTCTTAACCCTTAAGTTTTCAGAGCCTGGGCAGTTTGCATATCCAGATAAGATGATTTTTTGTGTTGTCTGTGTGTGTAATTCTTTCTTTCTTCTCTGAAACTTCCTGTCCCCAGAATCTAGTGATAGTGCTGGTTTGGGCTTAACTGTCTGGCATCCTCCCTCCTCTTCCCATTCCTAGCCAGATGTTGAATTTCTTATCTTTTGTGTCCAGATGTGAAACTGAAAATTTTTGCAAGAGTATGGGACAGGTGAGCCACACAGGAAAGTGGAAAAGGGTACACTTTTTGCTAAATGCCTTAACTTTTTGAGGATTTTTTTTCCTTACTGTGAGTTTCATTGCTTTTTCTTTGGGTAATGTATATATATTTTTTTCCCTTAGGCTGTTGAAGATTCTGAGCAAGAAAACAATAAAAAGGTGACACATAGGATGTTATGTAGTTTGTTTTATTGCTATATATATAACACACATATTACTTACCATTCATTCTTAGTGGTTTAACAATTTTACACACAGTTTCACTGCACCTACTGAGTATTTTTGGAAGTGACTCTACCTTCTTTTCTCCTCTAGGGTTTCCTCTGCTGTACTTTTATACTGGGGTTAGGGATGTCAGAAAATTTGAGGACTTTTGCCTCCTTAGAAGTGTCTTATCTCAGTCTCAAATGTCATGTACTGGGAAACAGCAGTCTTTTTGAATGGTGTTGAGATGTATCATCCCTGCTTCTTTTTTTTGCTCCTCCCTTACCCTGACTGCACTTTCTTTTCCTGTCTCTTTTTCCTCCTTTTGCTTTCCCTTGGGACTTCTGCATTCATCTTCTCCCAGGAATCCCTTTTGTTAAGACTCTTTCCACCTCCTCCCACTCTTCTCATTCCTTCTCTTCTCTCATTGAAGCTGCTTCTGTTCCTAACCACACTTTGTTTCATTCTGTGTTGTTTTCTAAGTGGGTTCTGCTTCTTTTCTTGGAGGGTGGGAGGTGTAAATAGCCTGCAGAGATCAACTTTCCCCCATTGTTTTCTCTATCCCCTAAAAGTGTCATGTGCTGTTGTAACTATTCCTTTGTTTCCGTAAGCTTTAAGAAATATTCCATCCTTACTCCTTACTATTTCATAATTTTTAAGTTGTGGACACTGCAAAGGGTATAGCCTATTTACTCTGAAAATTATGGATTGTCTTAGAGGTAGTGTGTCAGTAAGGCAGTAATGCAGCTGTAGTCTGCAGGGGACTTTTGCCTTGGCACTAAGGCATGCGTAATCTCCTTTGACTTGCTTTCACTGTGATTCATTACTTAGACTCTTATGTATCAAGATAGTAGAATATGATTAGCAATGCTGAGCAGTCAGCAAGAGGCACATTGAAGCAGTCTGGTTTTTAGAAGGTTGTTTGTCAGTTCTTCCTGAATTACTGAGTTTCCAAAAATGAAGACACTGAAAAGGACTAGTTTCTTTGAAGAAATTTACCTTAGTTCTAAACTCTATTAACAAGTATTAACCTAGTAGCAAAAAGATGCCTGTATTCTATTAATAAAGGGGTGTACTATTTGTCATATTTAGGGAACAGATCTGTTAACACGCAATATGTGTATTCCTGAAAAACAGTTGGGTTGAACCCTGGTGAGCAGTATTAAAATATGATATCAGTTTGATTTCATGGGCCACTGGAAGTTCAATTCAGTCTAAAGTGAACATAAAACCACGTGCATCTGGACTCATTTTGATAACAGCTATTCTATGCAGTCAGAAAATTATGTTCCTTGTGACTATAATTGTCTTAGCATATCAAGGCATAAATTGTTTCACTTGACATGGAATTATTTTTTTAAATCTGTTCTCACTATATGGCAGGTACAGGTACATACCCATAATACTGGCAAGTAGTTTCACATTTCCTTTGCTATGCTATCTCCTGAGTATATAAGTTGCAGCAGTGTAGGTACTGTGAACTGCATTCTTCTTCCAAGCTTTAAAGCTGTTGGACATGCTGAGACTTGCTGTCCGAGAAAGGGCTTTGCAGTGCTTCCTGTTATTCACTATTTCCTGATACAATAAGGGAGGAGAACCTACTGGGAAACATGGGTTGCATTCTGAAAATAAAAAACTGTACTGTAAGAATTTTTGAATATACTTAGTACTTCCATGTAGAAGTTTACTGTCAGCCTAGAGTAGGTTAGATTTTTTGGTAGCTGGTTCACTGGTAGGAGAACAAGCAAAAAATATTTGTGGGAAAAATGGCATGAATAATAAGCCTTGTGGAGTTTGCTTAGATTGTCTGACAGAGATCTTTCTTTCCTTTCTTTCAGTGAAAATAATGTGTTTCAAACTGGTTTAGGGAAAGGAAAAAGTTGTACAGGTAGATCCACATAAGAAGTGCTTCCTGTTGTGGATTTCTAGCAGATGAGATACTTGTAGAAAACTTTTGAAGTTCTGTTCTAAATATAGTGCATCTTTATGTGAATGATGGACTCAGATTTTTATTATTTTAAGTGGCCAGGAATATGAACTTGGTACTCTGTCTCTTGTTGGTCTTGTGACATCTGTTTGTCCGATTAAGGTTGTAATCCCTATATTTTGTTAGGCTTTAATTAGCAAAGATTAGCAATTGAACGTATTTGTATTTTGGTGTTGAGAAAGTTCTACTCAGTGCCAAGTAGGTACTCATTACCTCACCATAGTTGCTATCAGAAAATGTACGTTAAATCACAATTGTTAGGAAATTATTTGACAAAGATAAATCGTTATATTGCCACTGTTATGCAGCCTGTTGTAATATTTATCTTTTATCCCAAAGTTACCCTACTAACATAATGTAATATTTACCCACTCCTTAGGAGCTTTTCTGTCATCAGTCCTCTTGCATGCATCCTGTAACATTGGAAGTGTTTGATGCATGTATCAGTAAGAAAATAAATCTTAATTTGCAACATTAAATTTCCACTTTTCTTGTATTAATTTGTACTTCCTTTAATGTCTGCAGGTTTTGGGTATAATTTTGTATCACATTTTGTACACACAAGTAGTGATTATTGTTTTTAATGTGTTTTCAGGGTTTTGTTACTGTTGAAGATGAACAGGCGTGGATGGCATCTTACAAATATGTAGGTGCCACAACCAATATACATCCATATTTATCAACAATGGTCAACTATGCTCAACCTGTAAAATTTCAAGGTTTCGATGTAGCAGAAGGTAACATAAAAGGTTGAATGAAATAAGTGTTTATCTGCTTATTCTAGGTAGTCTTTTAATCTCTAAATTTCCTGAGTTTAGAAATGGCATAAGAGTTTTACAATTTAATGACCGTCATCAGTATATGTTTAGATCTGTTTCCCTGAATGTAAAGCTAGCATGTTATTCCATTGGTCATCCACATGGAGTCACTAAATTACTGTGAGAACATGAAGCTGTGGAGGCTGATTGTATTTTATACGCCTTTCCAACTAAACTGCTTTTTTAATTTCGTCTTTCTGTAAAGTAAGGTGAGCATGATTGTCACAGTGGTCAGCGGTTAGCTGACGCTTTCATATTGCACACTAGACTATTTATCATGTTGTTTTGCCTTATCTAGCCACACAATAACAGGCTCTGAATAACGATTTTGTCCTAAACAAAACACTTCCTGATTTCACAGGAAGTGAAAGAAAAAGGCAAGTCAGAAATATAATGAAATTTCTCTTCAGTATAATTTGATTCTATGAGTGACAGATAATGGGGAAACAGACCAGAACTTGCTATATCCTGCTGTTATGTATAGTGTGTGATTTTGAAATTTGATTTTTCGGTACAGATCTGTTTTAAAATGCTTTGTCTTTTCTTTCTAGAACGTAATATTCATCATAATATGTCCTCTTTCAATGAATCAGTCGGACTAGGGTATCTGAAGACCCATGCCATTGAGTTTGTGAAGTATCCTTTCACCACCTCATACCGCTTGTCTACTAATGCTACAAATAAAGAACAAATGCAGCTTTCTAGATGCAGGAGGAAAAGGGAAAGTAGTTCATAGGATGAGAAGTAGTAAGATTAATGTAAGAAATATTGAAGATACCAGGATATGACCATACATTTCTTTGATGTTTTTATTTAATTTTCCTTGATGAATTGTACAGTTATAATAAACGACAAATGAGTCGGATATACCCAAAGGGAGGCCGAGTGGATTCCAGTAATTACATGCCTCAAATTTTCTGGAACGCTGGCTGCCAGATGGTCTCACTGAACTATCAGACCCCAGGTAAGGCAGCAACGACCAGTGAACCTCAATCCTAAAGAATGGCTTGGACAGTAACTCTCAAACAGATGCCATGGATTTGCTTCTGGCATTTTTTGAGGAAACGGACATATGGCTAAAAAATACAGTGGGGTGGAATAACAGAAGCGTAAGACAAGGAGCAATAAAAAAGCCATACACAGAAGGAAAAATCAGTCCCCTTCCATTATTTTTCCATGGAAAAATAATAGAGTACTGTAACTTCTCACATAAATGATAATGTTTTATTAATAAAAAATATTAATTACATGGGAGTCATGTTTGCACAAAACACAACTTTGGCACATTGGGTGCATGTCCCCAAAGTAAAGATGAAGGATTGTACAAATTAAGATAGTAAAAAGTAATGACTATGTGTCAAATGCATTTCTAGACCAGTTATTGTGAAGTCTTAGTCATGTGTTTACCATCAGAGAATGGGGGCTGAGATCCTAGCTGTGAGAATGATTCCAAGGAATGTAAATGCTTCTCCACAGCATAAACTGAGAAGGAGATGTATTGTTCCTGTTGAATGAAGGTGTGAGTATAATTAGCAGGGTATGTTTGTGGTTTGTTGGTTTTTTAATTAAATCTAGGCATGTCTTCAGTCATATATGTAACAGACCAGTTTTTCCATTTTTCTAGCTGTGATAGTGCGTTTGTGCCCTTTTCCCCCTGTCCCCACCCTAAATGTTGTCTTTGGAACTGCAGACATACCTAATGATCATACCTAATGACCTGAGTTCTGTCCTGCAAAGCTTTGCACTGTTTTCACTGGTTGAAGGAAGCAAGAGAAAGCTCTACTAGGATACACTGCTTGTAAAGCACTCCACTGGATGTGATGTGGAGGTTGGACCAGATACACAAGCTTCACTCTTCTCCCAGCACTGCCTCTGACCACTGCATGTCATTCTCAACCCCTTTATATTGCAAATAAGAGTGATATTGTATAGTTGGAACCAGGCAGCTTTCCTTTGTTAGTCTTCTATGGTCCAAGTGTGCTATCAGGCTGAAGAATAATTGAGGAAATAGAAGTTAAGGCTGCCCAGTAAAGTGAGTAACAGCTAATAACAGGAGCATATGAGAATCTTGTGTTTTGTGATAACAGAGAACATACAGAAGGGGTTTTGTTCCTTTTCGAAGGTAAAGTCTGTTGGACAAGAGAATACTTGTGTTACTGCTAAACAAGGCTATTGTACTCTAGTGTAATTGGAAACCTGCAGGAAAGCATTTTATTTTTTACAAAGTTTGGGAGAGGGTTGGGTAGGAGTGGAGTTATTATGTGTTTGCTATCTGTCTTTATATACAAGTGCCGTAATAATGCATTGAATAAAACTCTGATGCTTTAAAAGTTGAAATTAAGCAATGCTGCTGTGATCTTTGTGGTTTCTTTTTGTGGTATTTTTTTCAATTAATCCTGTAGAAAATCAGTGTGATATTCATCTCACCTTCTTTAAGACATTGGGATGCAGGCAGTGTCATTGGAGGTGGTTGTTTGTGATCATTGTAGAGAAATACACACTTGTAGGATGTCTCATCTGGTATATTTGATATGTCTGCCTTAGACTGAGATTAATTGCATTTTAAAAAGTGCCTGTATTGTTCCGTTATTCAAAGTGATTTTAGATCACTAGCAGAAATGGAGACATCTATACTGTAGATACTGAGATGATGGAAATCCCATCCCAGGCACTTAACATGATCACAGTCTGATGCTTCTCTGCCTGCCGGGTGTGTTTGAATTCAGGGAGAAACTGTTTTCTAAGCACAGCATAGACTTCAGCTTGGTTGATAAAGCTGTTACTACGGTGAAGAAATTGAAGTTTTCCTGTTGCTTACATTTATTTCTTAAATGTGTGTGTTTTATATGCCTTGCATTTAATTTTCATTTAAAGTGATTATTCTGGACAAAGTCTTTTTTTTTTTTTTTTCTAAAAAGGATTGTTTATTCAGAAGGAAAGATAGTAATTTTTTCTCTCTTGACAGATTTAGCAATGCAGTTGAATCAAGGAAAATTTGAATATAATGGATCATGCGGGTGAGTGATATGATTTAAACTGTTGTCACTGTGCATGGGTTTAATAGAATTTTGTCACTACTAATTATGTGTTACAGAAGAAAAATGGGATGTTAGGTGAAGAGTAGAAATTAGCAGGATTGAGGGAGAATTATCCCCTGCAAGGAGGTATTCTGATGAATATGCTTTTTAATTATGCCCATTTTTTTACAGCTGAGATAGAAGAGGCTTTGTGTGCAAATTATGAGGAAGATCATGAATACCATACACAGTTATTTAAATACATCTTCAGCTTCTGTTCTCAATCTTTCTTTGATGATATGCCTCAGAATGGAGATTCATTGCACAGTTCATAGAATTGACAAATTTACTTGGACAGATTGAGTCTTAATATATAGGGATCACTTTTTTAATCTGTGTACTTTGGTTGGAGAGCAGATTTCACAGAGAATACTGAAATGTTTTATCTAAGTTCTTGCTCATGACTTTTGCATGGAAAAGGATGCTCAAGTGATGTTGATAGATTTTTCTCGAATGTTGGGTTTATACCATAATAAGATAGGCTGCTCATTAACATCAAGAGAAAGGAGAATTTTGCTGGATCATAGGAAATGTCAGTCCAGAAACACATTAAAATCTGCAAACTCATCCTGGGAAGAAACAACTCTTTCACAAATGCAAATCTCATTCAGAATGAAAATCTGAGTAGATGAAGCTTGTTAAAATTCCTCATCTGCAGAATGGGCAACATAGTGCTTTGCCACTCTGTACCTTTACTTCAGTTGTGAACTCTCCGGATGGAAGCTGTTGGGTTTGGCAAAGGTGCAGTCTCTGGTCATGTCAGTCAAAACAATAAAAATAGAAGAAAACCAAAGCTTTTTTTTTTTTTATGGCAGAGTATGGTTCCTTTCTTGTTTGACCCACAAGCCTAGTAAAAGAGCACATATTCACTCTTGCCAAATATCTGAAGGATGGGCATCATCAACTAAATTCCTTGATTCTTATGTCAGTCTTCTGGTATTACAGTAATAGTGTTGTATTTTTATATGCATTATAAATGTGGTGCTGTTTCAGTCACAGAAAACACACAGGGCAATGAAAATAAAAAAATTATATTTCCTTCTGTCTCTACTCCTTTTTTTTTCTCTGATCTACAGTTTTCATGCTGGTGAAACAAGTTCAAGTCACTCTAGCTTCAGTACTTTTTATTTCAGCAGGACTGAAGCAGAGGCTGAGGATGTTTCTGATACTTCCCTTCTGCCCATAACCTACTTTAAATTAATAAAATATTATGAAATCACATTTATAATGTAAAAAAAATGAGGAATATTTATTTCCTAAACAGAAGCCACATTATTACGCAAAAATGGGAGAAAACATGGACATTATTTCCATTGGAATTTTTCCAGCATTTTAAAATTATTTCTGAATTCTCTCTGGGCCTTTATAGTATTGTGTACCACTGATTCACTAGAGAGATGAAGTGTGGATAAAAAATTATCTTCTAGCAGCTTTTATTCTGTAACAGCTGGAGAATTAGCAAGATGACTCCAGTTACACATTTCCTTCCACCAGTGGAAGAGAACCCCTGTCATGTGTAGCACACCATTTCTGTGATCAACTGCTCTTTTGTTTTAATGGTAGAATCCTTGGGTTTTGATTCATCAGAGCATGTATAGGCTTCATTGATATGTTGATCCAGTGTATAGTCCTCAGGGATGTATTGCAAGTGTTGTTATGGTAGTACTTTTCATACTACTATAATTAACAATCTGTCAGCACTGACATTATCAGCTGTTTCCTCCAAGGTTTTATAACTGAGATGAAAAATTGAGCTTCAAGCTGAAATTTATTGTATGAGTCTTGACTCTATGGAACTGCTTCATTTAAAAAAAAAAAAAATGAATAAGCCCTCTGTATTTTTCTAAAGCGTTAAAGAATTAAAACAAATGAAAGCATCTACTTTTTCTTGTGTGATGAACTTGCTGTATTTTTAAAATGTATTATTAAATCATTTTGAAATGTCCTAGATTATATTATATTTATTTTTATTTTGAAATCCAGGGTTAATTTCATCTCTGAGTAGCTGGTAATTCAAAATGAAGATTAACATTTATCTGTATTCTAGACAACTGTAATATTTCCTTTTACTTCCTCACACTTGCAGATAGAATTATAGTCTATATTTTACAGTGCTGTAAGAGAGTTCATTGTTTAAAGCTAGAACATCCATTTTATTTATATGTAATACTATTTTAATTTCCACACAAGAATAATTGTCATCTTCTTTTTCTTGAAATAAGGTATCTACTTAAACCAGATTTCATGCGACGACCAGATCGAACATTTGACCCTTTCTCTGAAACTCCTGTAGATGGTGTAATTGCTGCAACATGTTCTGTACAGGTGAAACAGCAATAGACAAACTTCTGTCATCTTATCACATCCAAAGTTGCATTTAAATGTCAACAGAAATAGGGTATCTACAGAAAATGTGTTTGGATTGTGTGAATTTAATCAAATTCTTTCTGTTGTTTTTTGTTGCTGGCTAAGCCATCTATATTTATGTGCTTTTACTGGAACATGATAGAATTAGAAATGGTTTGTTATTATACTTTAATGCTGAATTTTAAACCCCCTTGTGCTCTTTTTGAATTACATCAGCCCGCAGAAATGAATAAATGAGTGAAGTTATTTTTGTGGACAGTATGAAATTATACAAACATCACTTATCACCATAGAGCAAGGAGGATTATAGGCACACATGGGGACAGGATATTTTAAAAATAAGTAGAGAAACATGGTTCATGTGATGGAGGTCCTTACTTTGGAGTTAGCTCTGAGTAACAAAGTCCTTGAAACTTTTTTAGTTCGGTAGCGCATTTTGGAAGGAGGCTGACAATTGTAACTTTTGTGACTTGACACTCTGCTGTCTTTGCTCAAATACCGTATGTGCAGCTTAACAACAGACTAAAGCTTTTAGTTATCACTTTCTATGTGCAGGATAGAAATTTGAAACTGTCTCCAAGCAAGGGTTCATTGTACATTCTAGACATTTAACTAAGTTTCATTTGCACCTCCAGAAGAACAAAAATTTTGTATTAATGTAATTCTTCTCTAACATTAATGATAGTACAGTCCCTCCAAGAAGGAAGTGGGATCTGGTGGTGAGAATGTAAGTTCAAAGTATCACAAGAGAGTGTTCTTAGATCATGTATTTTCCCACTTGCTCCTATGTGACTAAAAGTAGTATAAAATTCAGTATAAATTCTGTTATAAAGGAGTTGAGTAGTACCTCTCAGCCACATTACTTTTCAGATTTGTTATCCAGAGTGTTCCCTGGAAGAATGTTAGATCATTAAAAGAAAAGGGCTTGAAATGATCTTAGGTCCCTGATATTGTGTTTCAAATATTTTATCCGTTGTCGATCATAGTAATGAAAAAATTGGCTGTATTTTTAAGTGGTAGATCATCTTGATGGAATAAAAAAATTTTCCTGGACTAATCACTTGCTGTGGCTAGATTAATCTTGACTTGGAGTAAAATTGCAACAAATCTTCATATACATAACAATGTAAGGAGTTGTGTGGGTTTTTGGTTTATTTGCTTTTTAGGCATCCTGCTTTTCCCAGACATGTAATATCAAGTTAGGCTGTTGTGTGATTAGTTTGAAACCTTTACTTAAGTGAAAGCAGAGCAATATCTTCCTTTCACTTCTTTGTAGTCAAGAGATATAATAGATGACAGTGCTTCCAAATGGAAAGTTTAAAGTTGCGGAATAGCAGTGCCCAATCTGGTTGTTTCATTCAGTTTTTCAGTGAACGCATCTGGTAGACATTGGCTAATTGGGCTAACTGACTTAAGACTGTAAATACCATAGCACAACGAGTGCAATAATTTCAAATTAAGGATATATTTAAGGTCCTGTCACAAAAGCTTTTCTAAAGAAGTGCAATTGTAGTACTAAATGTAGCATTTTCATATGGTGAAATAAATATATTTATTCCGTATAAAGCATTTTTCAGGCTTCTGTCAATAAAATCAGTAGCATTTTTTCCAGTATTCATAAAATGCTGTGTACTTTGTATTGTTTTTTCTTACTGCTCTGTTATTATCTTGCAGGTAATATCTGGTCAGTTCCTATCAGACAAAAAAATCGGTACGTATGTAGAAGTGGATATGTATGGTTTACCCACGGACACAATACGTAAAGAATTTCGAACACGCATGGTGATGAACAATGGTCTGAACCCTGTTTATAATGAAGAATCATTTGTATTTCGAAAGGTAGGATATTTGGAAAACACGGTTTGTGGTTGCCAGCCCTTTTGCACATGAGCATCCTTGCTCATCTCGGCACTCCTCCCTGCTTTCAGCCTGACTGCTCACATGAATAAGAACTGCTCCCCTGAAAAAGGGTTTGTAGGGTTCCTGTTTACTACAGTAAACAATCTAAAGCTGAAATAAGCTTTCAAGAGGTTGGTTTTGTGGGGTTTTTTTTAAATTTTGCTTTGTTTTAGTTTTCTAATGGATAACTTCTGAGCTGTCACATGATTTTTTTCGTTGTTGTTTCTGTTTGGCTTTTCCCTCCCATTTGCTTCCTCCTTCCACTTGGAGGTAGCCACCTCCTCCATGGCCATGCCTGTGTTCAAGGTATGCAGTCTGCTCAGAATGAGCCCCCGCTGATGGACACCATCATTCCTTGGAGATTTCTTCTTCCCTGCCCTGGCAGTGGCTGCTATCTTGCACTGTTCCTTCAGCCCAGAGGGCAGGTGAGATGCTGCATCCAAAGCTAAAGTCAATGTTGTTACATGGAAAAGTTGGAAGGGTGCTGTGTTCCTCAGACATGTTGCCAGCTCCCTCCTTCAGTAGTCCATGTGCATCATGTACGTTTTTCTTTAATTTTTTAAATAATAAAAGAAAAACAACCCTTTTTTTCTTGGTATGGGGGATTTAAAGAGAGAGATCAATCATCCATGTTCAGTTTTCATTTCTCAGTGTTTATATATATATATGATACTTTTTTAAAAAAAATTTTTTTCTGTTGTCTGGAGTTTCATCCAGACTACGTGTATTAAAAGTGTTTGAGAATGTCTGTTTTGCTTACACCTGTTTTGTTGTCATGCAAAATTGTTTATTTCAAAGTGACAGACTTTGCTGAGTGGTGATAACACTTCACACTTGGGTATATTACACACATAATCTACTTTTTTAGCAGTATAACAAGTTTTTAATAGAAATGTAGCAATGCAAGAGGTTTTTCTGGACTCAAATATATTGTAGAAGGAATGTGACTTCAAGGGCTTTTCTCTGTATATAAGGAGACACAGGGAAGATGCTTAGGTACAGTGACAGGCAATCATGCTGCCCATGGCTTTTTTTGCCTACGTCGCTCTGCTTCTTGCTGGCCATATGGCCAGCATCTGCCACTTTCTGATTTCTTAAATCAAAAGGCCCATAAACTAGAGGGTGCACACAGCTTCCGCCTGAAAAGTGGGTACCTGTGTATTGTGCCATAGGTACAGTGTCCGATGCAAATATTCCTTGGACTTGCTGCTCTGCACTGCAATGAACAATTACATGGTCACAAATTCTCTTGATTAACTCATACTGTAAGTCATCCAAGAGATTATTTTCTTCAATTCAGGCCCTTATCGTATCAGGCTTAGCATTGTAATCAAGACATACATTGATGACCAAGCAGATGAGTGGCATAAACACAGCAGGATCAATTTTTCCAGTTGGAGGAAATGAAGACATGGGGTGCAGAGTGCTAAAATGTCATGAGAGTAGAAGTGCCTACCAGTATACCATAGAACAAATTAATGGAGAGGGAATGATAAACTACTTAGTCCCCACTCCTGCTCCCTAGCAAATCTGTATCTGAGCCCATCGCATAATAAGAGATGTGCTGATCTGTGGCCTGTAGAGGAGAGATCTTTCCTGCCCTATTTGGGTTACAGTGTTCTCCTCAAGCTGATGCTTAATCCTGTGTAGTTGCTCTCAGGTGATGTGTTTGCTTGTTCTTCTCTCATGTTTTCTTGGTTTTATTTTAGTTAAAATAAAGCTTCAGTCATTCTAACCCAAGTTCCGTGTTGTCACTCTGTTGTGTAAGGGGAGGATGGGGTGAGTGCGGGTGGTAACCTGTGTTGGAAGTCGAAAGTTATAATCAAGTAGAGCAGTAGATCAGTTAATAGTTCCAGTGGGTTCAGAGACCAAAAGCACACTTTATTTTGTGCCCTCTAAGACTCGAAATGAAAGTGGCAGAGAAGAAGTCTAAGGAAGATAGTAGACTCAGTTTTACTTAGGTCTTTCCTTTTGTCCTATAAGCATTGATGAATAGAGCCAGGTAGAGAAGGGGAGGGAAGACCTTTCCAAGCAGGCAGAGAGGGTGCACCTCTCTGTGAGGCTCTCTGTTCCTCACTGCTCCATGCACAGGGGCAGCACCTTTGTTCCAGGGAAGACAGGGGATTCTTTTGGTAACTGTTTTGGTCGGTCCAGATGTAGGCTGACAGATGCAGATAGCTGGCAGCATCCCTGCCAACCATGCATACCGCGTACCCTTCATGTCATGAGTACAGCACACCCACTTCTGCTGGCAGTGCACCATTTCAGCCGGTCTGGCACCCTGTCCTGCCTTCCTCTGTTGGCTTCTCCCCTTTGCAGAACCTGTAGTTTAGCCTACATCCCCATCAGCTTGTGCTTGCGCTCTTTCCATTCATTGCCCTTTTGGATACATCCCAAATCCCATCTTTCTGCCATAGTTCTTCCTGATTCAGCACTATCTACCCTTCGATTTTGACTGTATCTGTCATTCCCCAGGTAGTATTTACCTGCCTTCTTATTGATGTCACTAGTCTGCAGTAATGAAAAATAAATAAAATATTTAGCTAGTGTAACTGTAAGCTAAGGGATTTGCATATTCTGAAATTACCTATTATTTAGGGTGAAAAAAAGCTTTTCTAGGAAGTGTTAATCTTAAAGTGTGTGGTTTGCAGGGAATGACATTATCTTACAGTGGTGATAGTCTGTTTCTGGCATACAAAGTGAATGGTTCAAACATGGGAAGTGGGGACAGTGCTACTGTATTAGAGTCATTGAATTTCTTTGTTTTATGACTTTCCAGGTTATTCTTCCTGATCTTGCTGTCCTGAGAATAGCAGTGTATGATGACAATAATAAGTTGATTGGTCAGAGGATCCTGCCTCTGGATGGTCTGCAAGCAGGTTACAGACATATTTCCCTTCGGAATGAGGGCAACAAACCACTCTCTCTTCCAACGGTTTTCTGCAACATTGTCCTTAAAACATATGTGCCTGATGGTTTTGGAGGTGAGATAAGCCTGTGCCGTAGATCTTGAGGGTTGGTTTGAAAGTACTGAAGTACTGTGATTTCAGTATGCCAGCCAGAAGCAGACACACAATGCTGGAGGATTGGGAAGATTTAGTATTTTAACTCCTTGAAAACCCTGCATACTCAGTTAAGAAATCAGCTGTCAGATCAAGTGCCTGCCTCAGGGTTAATGACAATTACATATAGCTCTTAAATGACAAAATAATATGGAAAATAAGCTAGTATTAGCTCAATTTTATTTTCTCAGTTGATAGGAAGATTTTTAAAATTTTTTTTTTATTGCATTTTTTTCTGACATAAATATTTGTAAGGTTAACATGTACTTTACATATATTGTTTGGACATATAAACAATTTATGCAGAATCTAGATGTGTTTTTTCAAACAAAACCACTTTTTTGTTCCTGAGAATACTGGCATATTGTTAAAAATGGGCAGGGAAATAATTTAGCATCCAAAATTTTTCTGCATTTTTCTCTCACAATTTGACATGTTTTTTAGTGTGGTTTAATTAGTTTGGGGTTTTCAGGAAAGTAATTTTTAATGTGAGCCATTTCCACAATTAGGTTGGCAGGGTCGTGGTCATTTATACTGAGCGGTGGCAAATTGCCACATGTGGATAGGAACAAACAGCTGAGAATAATCATTACACCACTTAAATCACTGTAATGAGTAAGTTCACTCTGAGGGTGTACCTCTGGGAAATTTTTTCTTCACTGCAGATGAAATTCACTTTTACATTAGACAATATGTAAACCATTTAAAACTATAAAATAGAAATTGCCTTAAACGTTAGTGCTTTGACTCTGCAGCAAAATGAAGTTCACCATAGAGTTGATTGGGGAAACGTTGATAAAAATGTTTTTCTCTTTCCAAAAATGATTTAAAACCTGATGTCTATGCAAAGAATTACTACCACTTCTCTGACTGTAATTTCTATAGTACAAGCTGGAGAAAGAGAAGACTTAGCTAATAATATTACATAATGTACCTTCAAGACTGCTGGTATTTATTCAGGCTTAAAAAAAATTAACAGGCCTAGACTTCGGTAACAATATTTAATGGAAAAAGTTGAGCATTTACAGAAACGCTTGTGCTGTTAGCATGTGAAGTCCTGGTTGCTGGCAAGTCATCTGGAGTATTGCCACATGTCTTGGAGCGCTACCATGCCTTTATGCAGCATGTTTCATCTACAATATTTAACTTCAGGAACTTTGTCTCAAGACAAATGTAAGCTTTTGCTTAAATGTGAGATTCTTGAGGCAGTTAATTGAACCATGAATCTGAGGGACATACTTGTGATTTGGGATTGATGTTTTTCTGAATGGTACCCTTTTTCTAAGAGTAGAATTTAAATTTAGCAGAGTTTGCTGGTACTCAGTCTGCTGAGTGTGCTGGTCACATAGGGAGAAAATATTTTTCATTTTCTTTTTTAAACTGCAGTATACAAATTAAGAAGTGAAAGACTTGTTTTTCAAAGACAATTTCAATACTGGTTTAGAATTTGTAAATTGCATGCAGTTCAGTACTGGTTGATCTACTACACTGTCAGCATCGGTACAGATGGTTTAGCTGATAGAGATGAGGACATAGAAAAACATTACTACCCCTAAGTAAGAGTATCATTAAAGTACAATGCTACTAGAATGAGAGAACTGGTTGTCATAGCTTACTGTCAGTGTTGGGAAAAACAGACTCCGTATTAACATGAACTAAATTAGTTCAATTAGTTCTTCTCTCCCTTCCCACATAGTTTTGATGTGTCTCGTGTATTTTTCTCATTGATACAGAACAACAGCATGATTAACAGGTAATAATTTTTGGCGCCTGGGTGGAATCGTTAGTATTATGTTGACATGTGTTTTTTAATTACTTATCATCTGAAGTGAACCTCTCATTGTTTTATGAGCAATCATTATGATCTCCATGGTTGTTTTAGTAAACCTGTAGGAAGGTATAGCTCAATTTAATAGCTGCCTACCTTCTTTTTTATTATTTTTTTTAACCTGTGTGAGTAAGATGTAAAAACTTGCACTGAATAATAACTAGAATCTGTAATGCATTGTAGGCTTTAAAAGATGCATCATTTTATTTTTCATATACCTTAGTAATTTCTTGTAGTTTATTTGCATCAGCTATTCTGTTCCCAGTAAAACACAATACTGGTGCAAATTAATACAAATGAAGTAGCATTCTTTTATAACAGAAGTCTATACATAAGTAAGCATGGCTACTTAGGTTAGTGGTTAGAGTCTTCTGTAATGTACTCCTCTGGTGATTTTCCTAGTTTTATATTTAATTGTGATTCTTCTCCAAAATTCTGTTCCCCGCCCCCACTTTACCTCACTGAGGAGAAAGAAAAACGTAAGCAGAGGACAAATGACACTGTGAGCAGCAGTGATGAGTCACATCTGCCTTGCAGAAGTGCTGAGCCTTTGGTGATGTGCTTGTATGGTTAGTAATACAATTTACAAAGGTCTCATTCTCCCAAACATGTTAGTCATTTTTACCTTGAAGCTTGTGATAATCAGGTTCCATTTTCAAATGACTCATCATGTTAGCAGGGTATTCCTGGATTTTCATTGAAGAGTGCATGCCAAGTGCAAAAAGACATGCTTACTAAGTTATGGAACTTGAAAGGAACATTTCATAGAACAACTTAGGTTGGAAGGGAAATTATACAGTCCACCCCCTAGTTTGCTCAAGAAGGATAGAAAGTTTCTTCCCAAAGCTTTTGATGGATTGGATATTTTTACAGACCTGGTCACTGGACCAGCTTCTCTGTCTTGGATCATTGTAAGCTAATTTGGAAAATGGCTGAAGAGATGACATGAAACGTAGGCAAAATTCAAATGCCCATGAATGTCAGAACTGTCATTGCAGAAATAATGGCCTATTACGCTATTGAGACCATCTAGAATATAAGGGTACAAAAACATTTATCAGAAGGTAAACTCATAAGCAGCAGAGAACAGGGCTTTGAAGCATTCTGCAAAGAAGGAGCTTCCTTGCAAGTGAAGTGCTGTCCGTGGTCATGACAGAAAAAAAAAAAAAAAGTTAATTGAAGTGAATGATGAGCCAGTCAGGCTGCAGTGTTCAAACTTCCTTTCTTAAGTTACTGTTCTGACAAGGAAGGCTTATTAACTGAGACCAGTGACTCTTTTATCCATAATACTGAAGTTAAGGTTTCAGGGGTTCATCAAACTAGATCACTGCTGTGGTCTCTGAATGCATTATTACTGTAGGTGCTGCATCAGTTTAATCTGTAAAGTCATTTCTTGCTCTGGAGAGCTTCCTTTGCCATTTGCAAATTCTTTGACTGTTGTAATTAAGCATGGAAAGGGATTATTCAATATGCAGGTAAAGATTAATGTGTCTTGGTCTTCCTGTAAACCTATGCTTGCAAGCTTATCACTGCGTATAGAAAAACTATTCAGTAATCTATATGGTATCCGGTGCTGGGTGGTGCCATTATAACACTGGGGGTACTGTGCAAGATTCAAATACTGTTCATAATGGTTCCTAGAAAAGCCATTTCACAGTCTGTCGTGTTCCAGACATGGAGCATCACAAAGGCGAGTGAGAATAGATTTCCCCTATGGCTTTAACCACCTGTGTGAAACTACTATTTAGCTAGGAAATACAACAGCATTTTCTACAATTCCCTGAAATCCCAAGTCAGTCAGCACCCCCTTGAATAACCAAGAGACAAAGTTGTTCATGCTTTGTGGCTCAGCAGATCCCATTCTGGTCTGAAATTCTAGTGTCATCAGCTGGCAGTACGTTACGGTAACTTCAATCCGATGGAATCACAGAATCACACAATGTTAGAGAT